TTTACTTCACTCCCGCCAGCCTTTGTTTACTATTTGTGTTGCTAGGGAGCCGAAGACACTTCCGCATCACGGGTCCCCGGAAGAACGAAAAAATGAGTGCAAGTCAACGGGGCTAATCCGCTTTGCCTTACGCCCTGGATCACATTTATGTTGTACAGCAATTTAAATGAAAAGTAATGATGGGTGTTTCGACCACGCCAGTCACGTACTTTGAGATTCATCAGCTTGTAAAAGTTAGTAATTAGCATGACTACAAACAATAACTCAGCACGTCGCATATGTGACTTCACCACATAAGCTCCTCCTCCCTAGCGTAGCTGCTACTTACCACATGACCAAATTTATGGTGGTTCTTTCCTCCTGTGGGAAGTTTGCTGAACTTACAGCCCTTTTTCCTCAGTTTTCTCCGTGTCTGGTTCAATGACGTCACTTTCGTGTAGCACATTTGTAGTCCTGGACTTATTTTCACACAAAACCTAAAATATCGTTCCCCTTGTTCAAAAATAAGCGTGTACTTGGTGTCAAAATGTGTCTTTAAAATTCACGGACATCATATGTGAAATCCATGGCATAAAACAAGCGGAATTAGAAAACAGCGTTTTCAGCCCCATTGACTTGCATTCATTTTTTTCTTTCTTCCGGGGACCCGTGATGCAGACCTGACTTAGGCTCCCTACAAGCTAACCAGAAGAATGCTGACATGAAAGGATTCATGTCGCCACCTATTGTACCGGAGTGGAACACACTTAATTTGCAAGTTTGGTTTTCTGCCATGCATGTAAACTAGGATGAAGACTTACAGTTTCTTGCAGTATAGTGACCTAGATCAACTTAGATGCACATGCAAACTGAGTGCTTCGTTCCTCTTATCTATTCTCCTGAACCTGATAGGAACACCTGGACAAACAAGACCTTCACCAGCTCACTAACTATCAGAACAACACAGATATTTTCGACATATTATCATTTAAAATCTATCTTTTCCTTCAGTGGTCAAAAAACATGGCTGGTGGTCTTAACCACTTTTGCATGTCAGTTATGTGTATGAGTTGAACCACAGAGACTTAGTAAGATGAAAGTCACTAAACTTGTTGAAAAAAAGCCCAGATGGGTGTCTAGCCTCCAATTTAAACTTGCAGACATCACCTGAATAACTTTTGTTCTCTGTCTGCGAGGGCTAGCATGTGTGTTTGTCTACAGCGAGACAATGACAGAGAGCCTCATTGAAATAACAGTGGTCTCAGGGGGCTGGCTAAAAAGAGAGGAAGGGTAGGTTAGGGTAGAGCGAGTATACGAGAGTCCGGGGAATCATTGAAGCCGTGTGTGTGCGTGCGCATGGAGCGATTCATCCGTTCTGGTGGCGGCTAACCTTGGCAAGTCCTGCCACGCGTGACGGGGGTTACACCCAGCCGTCCTCTACACATGCGTGAGATTGTTGGGGTGTATAGGTGGATGTGCAGACAAGAAGAGTCAGCAGCGTGTGTTTGCGTGTGTGTGTGTGTGTGTGTGTGTGTGTGTGTGTGTGTGTGTGTGTGTGTGTGTGTGTGTGTTTGTATCTGCATACAAGGGGGAAAAGTAGAAGATTAAAAGAGACACGAAGGAGAGAAAGGGAGAGAAATCAGTCAGGTTGTTTGGTGTCTTTGGATGATCTTGCCCCCAGGAGGAAGGACAAAAAATAAAGGAATGAATTATGTGTTTATATGGTGTGTGTGTGTGTGTGTGTGTGTGCGTGCGTGTGTGTGTGTGTGTGTGTGTGTGTGTGTGTGTGTGTGTGTGTGTGTGTGTGTGTGTGTGTGTGTGTGTGTGTGTGTGTGTCATTGTTCTGCAGCATGAAAACGCAAAAAGCCATCTGATGGATGCAATTTCATGTCTGCATCTCATAAAGATGATCATCTGGTTTAAACTTGAAGCTCAGAGTCGGACAGATTAGATGTTCACCTGCCTTCGTTGGATTTTTACAGCTTTTTTTAAAACGTTAAAGTTCAGGGGAAGAAAGAAGTAAATGCTACTTGGGGACAAAAACTGTACTTGAAGTTGTTGGATGTGTGCAAAAGGAAGTTTGACACAACCTGAGGCTTCCAAGAAAAGGGAAGCAGAATTAAGAGGCGTTCAGAGGAAGAAGTCAGTTACAGGAATACAAACACCTAATCCTCCACTAGTTTCTGAAAGGCAAACATGAAATAATTGATTTTTAAAAACTTGTGCATTTAAGATGACCTTTTGTTCCACATTATGTCTTCCACAAGAGTTGTTGGGTGAAAACAGATGGCAGAACTGCTTTTTGGACGTTTAAACATGCATGAAAAGTAGGGATGCACGATATATCTGCATCAATATCGGTATCGCCAATGTAAGTCATGTTATAACATAACAGTATTAGACCAATAAGTGAAACTGGGCTGATATTAACAACCGATATTTTTTCCATCTTGTTCTGTTTCAGAAGATCAAGTTTCTCAATTTTCTTTTTACAAGACAAACGTTTTGTGGGTTTTAAAAATGTTTATCTCATACCTGCTAACAGTTTCGACTGAAGGCTTCAGTCTTCCTCAGAGCGACTTTTCACCGTTGTGTTGTTTATCAGCTGGTCAGGGGGCGTTGTTGAACCACGCCCCCTGACCAGCCGAACCCCCTCTCGCCGGTTCCGGAGAATGGAGTCCCAGGTGTGTGATAGGGTGTACACTCCCTCATCCCGTTGATGGTATTGCTGCCTCGCCTCCAGATCTCGATGGACTCAAATCATGCGACAAAACATACATAGGGGAAACAGGAAGGGCCTACAGCACACGGAAGAAAGAATATCTAACAGAGTGTGAGAAGGAAACAAGGGGATGTTTCACCAGAACACGAAAGAACACAGCTGAACAGGAGACCGAGAAATCAGCCATAACAGATCACTGCAGGAGCACGAACCACATCATGGACTGGGACAATGGAAGAATCATCACATCCGAAAACAACGGCTTCAAATGATGAATTAGGGAGTCCATCGAGATCTGGAGGCGAGGCAGCAACACCATCAACCCTATCACACACCTGGGACTCCATTCTCCAGAACCGGCGAGAGGGAGTTCGGCTGGTCTGGGGGCGTGGTTCAACAACGCCCCCAGACCAGCTGATAAATGACACAACGGCAAAAAGTCGCTCTGAGGAAGACTGAAGCCTTCAGTCGAAACTGTCAGCAGGTATGAGATAAACATCTTTAAAACCCGCAAAACGTTTGTCTTATAAACTAAACACGGTCTCTGCACGAATATCCAATTGTCTCTCTGACATATCAAAATGGATGAAATCCCACCATCTCCAACTCAACCTCTCTAAAACTGAACTACTTGTCATCCCAGCAAAACCATCCATTCAGCACAATATCTCAATCCAGAATGACTTCCTATCTCTGGCTCCTTCAAAGACAGTTCGAAATCTGGGTGTTGTGATTGATGAACACCTGACCTTTAAAGATCATTTTACCTCTGTTGCTCATTCATGCCGCTTTGCGCTGTATAAAATACGAAAGATCAGACCATACCTAACACAACATGCCACCCAGCTCCTGGATCAATCTACTGTCATCTCCCGCCTCCATTACTGCAATGCCCTTCTAACTGGTCTTCCAGGCTGTACTGTGAGACCTCTTCAAATGGTCCAGAACGCAGCGGTGCGTCTGGTCTTCAATCAGCCAAAAAGAGCACACGTCACCCCTCTGTTCATTGAGCTCCACTGGCTACCGCTAGCAGCATGCATCCAATTCAAATTGCTAACACTAGCATACAAAGTCTGAGATGGTACGGCTCCCATCTACCTGAATCCTCTTGCAAAGGCTTACGTCTCGGCCCGGCCGCTCCAGTCATCACAGGATCGTCGGCTAGCGGTGCCTACACCACGCTCAGGACAATCCAGGCTCTTCTCGTGCATCGTTCCACAAATGTGGAATGACCTACCAAGCACTACCAGAACAGGGGCTTCCTTTTCAATTTTCAAGAAACTCCTGAAGACCCTGCTCTTCAGAGAGCATCTTCTAAACTAGCACCCTCCCTGTACCCGACCCCCCTCTCTACTGTCCACTCCTTGTTCCCTCCTCTCCATGATTGATGTCAAGTTGTTATTGTTGTTGTTAGCCTCAAGGGCAATATGCCGATTATCACTTGTAAGTCGCTTTGGACAAAAGTGTCTGCTAAATACATAAACATAAACATAAACATAAACATAAAAAGAAAATTGAGTGATTTGATTTATAAGGAAGACAAAATGAACTTTTTTAATCTGTTTCAGAAGATGATGGGGTGATGATGTGTAAATGTGTAGTCATGTGATAGTGATGGTAATCATCTCAGAAGCATGAACATGTGTTGTGTGAGTTTATTATATATGAGTAGAATAATAAAAAAATAAATTATATACATATATACAAAGTGTGTCGACAAATATTGTTTATCTGCCATAGCAGCTATATTATTATTGGATATCGGTATTGGCTCAAAGTTCCATATTGGTGCGTCATAAATGAAACGTTAAAATGCATAAAAGCTGAAGAAAAGCAAAAATGGGACATGTCACCAATACACCGTTGACCCTTTACATGTGGTATTTTCAAACTAAAACCAAATCTGCGCTTTTTCCGATCTTGTTTTCTTCTTTAATTTCTTTGAAAAGTGAGCTTCTTGTTAAAACCATTTAGGATGAGGTCACTGCAAAAAATAAAATGTAAGATTCTTGAAATACCAAGAAATGAAAGTAGCTGTTTCCACTGTAAAAATGTCACTTCAGGCTCCAACATCTGGCAGCGGTTAGATGATTGCCCAGAATTTTCTGTTATCGCCTCTTTCAAGTGTTTCTCTGAAACAGAAGCAACACACTTCTGTTTTTTCAGCCTATTTATAATCAGGAGTGAATATTCTAACAGAGTAGAGCAGAAGAAACAAAAGAGGAAACCTGAGAAGTTTCTATTCTAATAATCATGTCGATCATATCACTTCTCCTGTTTTCACCTTTGTCTCTTTCAGGTTCCTGATCGGTTTCTGGAGGTGGCCCAGGTGACCCTACGAGAGTTCTTCAATGCCATCGTGGCGGGTAAAGACGCAGATCCTTCGTGGAAGAAGGCCATCTACAAGGTGATTTGTAAGCTGGACAGTGAAGTTCCCGAGGTCTTTAAATCCCCCAACTGCCTCCAAGAACTCCTCCATGACTGACTAGGACAGACGAGGACAGAAGGCAAGAGGAACAAACCTCCAAGAACAGTCAGAAGATTCCTCCAAAGGTGTTAGGTGGACAGCTCTTGTAATTAAGTGTGTGCAGGAGGTTGGAGGCATCTTGAAAGGCCAACGCTGTCCTCAAGAAGACTGTGTGAAGATGCACGACTTAGCTGATTTTATTGAGACTTTTAGGAATTAAACGGAGAAGGATGAAAGAAAAATTCTCCTCAGTTTCCTCCTCCGCCTTGTTCAGACTTTCTAAGGGATGACGTTTGATGAGCCTTTTGCCTTTTGAAATAAGGAGCGAACGAAAAATAAAGATAATATATTAAAAAAATCTTTTTATTGTGGATGTTTTTAAGTTACTTGGACAATTTTCAAATCAAAAACAAAAAATAAGTGATGTTCTGTATTTTTCATCCTTTGTACGATCTCACATCCTGTCTTCTATGACCCCCCCCCCCCCCCCCCCCCCCCCACACACACACACACACACACACAGATTTACCTGGACATGCACAGATGGGCAGCTTTTCTCCTCTTTTTTAAATCACCTTCCTCTTGAGTGTTTGTGTTGTAGCTCTGCAGGCTGCCCCTCCACAGCACACGTCTCGTTTTCAGTCTGATACATATTCTTATTTAACATAAATCACAAAACTCTGTCTGCTACTTTCAGATTTTATATTTGAAATCCCAGACGTGCTTCACAAATATTAATTTCAAAACCAATTAAGACTCACTCGGCTAATAAATGCCTGGACGTGTTCAGTCATCTGCTTGTATGTTTATTTTTAAACCTTCCCTACAGCTGGACGTTTCCACCACTAGAACCATTGACTGACTGGTCGTTGATCCAGCAACCAGCTGTGTTAGTTGAAGGCGGTTTGGTAAATGTCAGTTTTAGTGGCCTGAAAACAAGGATTCAGTTTGAGTTTGGGTTTAAAACACCCAGCAAGAACCCTGGCTCTATCCCACCAACCCTTTAGTTCCATCAACCCTAAATTAGGTCAATTGGGTCATTTGGCAAATAAAAGTCGATAAATTGACAATCTGATCAATTGACTTTGCACTTAAACATCATAAGAGCTTGTTTAAACTTTTTTTATGGATTCAAAGTTACAATTTTGGAAATAAAGATCTTTTCTTCCAAATGTACACAGAAATCCAGATTTTTACTGTAACTTCTATTAAAACCTACATAATTCTAATATTTCACCATGATGATCCAATAGCATGTACCCACGTGTGCAAAAGAACTATTTTCTGCCTCTAATTAACCTTGTTTGGGTGTTTGTTTCAGTTTATAAACGGAAATCCTCTGGTTTGTAATTATTTCTTTCCCAACACAGTTCTCTTACAATCGGCAGATGTTCATGCCCATGTTTTCATTTTGCACCAATATATGAGGTTCAATTAGGAAGAGTGTGCTATGACTTTTGGTAGTAGTATGATTTTGTGTGCATAAAGAAGAATTGGTAAAAATGTCCTCAAGGATAACATTAATATTTTGGTGGACCAGACGAGAAAGCCCCGCCCCCTTTTGTAGCTCTATAGGTCAGGTAGACCTCACAGCAGGAACATCATTCAGAGTTTAGACAGGTTACAGGACGTTGGGCTGTAGGTGACTGAACTTTTGTTTTAAAGTCTCATTAGTCGTCACCCACCAGTTACACATCTGACCCATCCCCTGGGGGAGCGGTGAGCTGCAGACACACGACCACATTCGGGAAATATTTGGTGGTTTAACCCCCCAATCTAACCCCCTAATGCTGAGTGTAATTCGAGCATTGGGTCTCATTTTTAAGAGTCTTTGATATGACCTAACTGTGAGTTTAAACCCGGAATCTCCCAGTCTCAGGGCAGACACCCATCCCGCAGGCACTGAGCTGGTTGATATCTTTGATAGTTTTTACACAGTCAGTTGAAGGTTGATTTAGACTTGGGGTTTTTCTGCAGAATTATTTGACAAACTTTTTACTCGGCCAACTTTTTCATTGTTTTTAAGAATTATGCACAAGAACGTACCCGCTCTTCTTTCCTTTCACCTGCTGCTGTAGGACTAGCAGCTCTTTAACAAACCATCTCACAAACATTGCAGACACAGAAATCTCCATTGTTTAAGTCTTTGATACAGTGTTAGCACTGAAACTGAGTTTTGCATTCTTTGGACAGTACATTTGCTTTTATCTGTGTTTGTGCGTTTGAGCAATCAAAGATTGTGCAAATCGCAGTACTGAACGTCATTGTTTACATAGGATGAAATATGATGTCATAGCACTTGAATGGTCTCTAGCGAGGCTTCCCACTGGGCATCAGGTCCAGTAACACTCTTCTAAATTAAAAGTTTGCACCAATGTTAGACAATGCAAGAAGAAACCATGACTGATGTAGCAGTGTCCTTTGGTTTTGGGTTTGTCGTGTCAATAAGAGGATAGTTGACTTCATGCTTTGATTTTAGCTGTGTTGTGGGTTTGTTGAGTTAGCACTGTGTTTCATGTTTTTCATCACACCCCTAGGGAACATACATTTTTTTGCACCACCCCATCAGCTCCGAAGCTCCGCTGCTGCTTCTTCTGCTGGGATAAACAGGCAGCCTGTCAATGGGTCGGAGCGCTGCCGCCGCCTAGTGACTGGGGGTGGTTTAGCGTTAGCAAAACACTGGGTTAGCATAAGGCGTGTGCTTGTTTTCACAATTTATAATAAAAAAAAATTATAATGATCTTTGATTCCCCCAAATGTTGATTAGACTCAAATTAAAACAGATTCAACAAGTTTGCTTGTTTTCATCTTTAATTTTAAAAAGAACCCTAAACATTTTTCTGTGCTCTGACTGGTCAGGAGGAGGCAGCTGAATAAATTATGTGTGAAGGTTTTAACAGAAAAACAACAAAATGCTGATATTTCTAACTTGTATAGATGTAATAATTATTCCAATGACTCTGATATTGTTATTTATAAACAGAAATAACTATTAATGTTCTTCTGATGGTGATTTATATTAATATTGCTTGCTACAGGTTTGACCAGTGGTTTTCTTCATTGTTTATCAATCACACTGCAACATGAAATAAATTATTCTTTGAACGAAAAATGGAGGTGTTTCTAAGTGCAGATATGAGGTTGTTGACAGACTGAATGTTGTTGTATCCCGACAGCAAGGCGGCTATTATAACGCCTTTCGTGCCCTCTCTTCCTGGGTTCTGTATTGGAGGGACATGTGATTCCTTGTTGTTGCTGATGATGAATTGAAAAGAAGAGCACTGTGCGATTATTGTCAGCACAATAGCCTCAAAAGCTGCTGACACCTAGATTAGCCAGTACAAAGATGCAGGGACAGACACAAAAGACATAGGTACAGACTCAAGCACACAAAGACGAGGCCTGCATGCCCTCGCTGCCCTACCGTCCATCTCCTCTTGCTAGTCCCCTCTATCAACCACAATCATCTTGTAATAAAGTGTCTCTCTTCAAAAATATTTACAAATTACCAAAAGCAGTAACTGTTTACAACCAGTTACAGCGTTTGTAAAGAGGTCAAAGCAAGAAAAAAGTCAATTTTCACAGGTCACTGACTAAAATTAGGCATTTCTAACAATGGCAGCTTCAGCTGAGCTGTAACCAGTTTGAGTTTCAATGATTACCATGTTTAATGCCATCATGTTGTGAAGCTGTACAATAAAACCAACTTAAGTTAAAACCCTAAACCTCACAGTTCCTATGTGCTTTTAGTAAGAAAATAAATACATCTTTAGTTATTTATTGTCACTGAGAAACCATTGGCTACTTTTTCGTTCCCAAATACAATCAGTTACTGAGCTGAAAATGAATGCTGAACGGAATGCAGGAGATTGTCTTCGTCCCCGATCTCCTGCTTTGGCGCAGAAAGGAAATGGGTGGAAAAATAATCAGGTCAGAAGAAGCCTGACTCTTCTACATCACAGGGAAAATTAGTGTTCAGGAACGTTCCTAGGCTTGTGATTGCAGAAGGTTGTGTAGATTACAGCCAAGAGAGATCAGAGTGCATCTATGCTAGTAACCGTTAGCTAGCTAACATTAGCATTAGCAACTCCACAGCAGGGCAGCACACATTCAGGCTTGTGTTTTTAGTGGAGACAAAACATCAACGTTTCATTTTTTATCCACAAAAGAAGAGCGTAAGTGTTGTGTTGCTGTTAGCTAAATCATGGTTGAGATGTTTTTGAAGAGTCCAAATCCTGCCCCCAACTCCTCCCACTAACTTCGACTTCCTGAAACAGGAGCACAACAGCTTTTTTCCTCCACAGAAAACAACTTACAAGACATTCATTCATTCATAGAAAAATGACACCTTTAACATTTTAAATTCTTACAAAAAAAAAAACCTAAACTGCAAATGTTCGATTTTGTTTCCTGACATTTCAATAGTAATTGAAAGTGGATTCAAGAAACCTTTCCTCTGGCTTTATAAAGTTTTAAAGTTCAATAAAACATTTGAATTAGCAAATATTTCAGTAAGAATTTAGTGACTCAAACACTGTTGTTACATCTAAAGTTGTTCTGTGTGGAAAGAAGATTGTGGATTTTGTAAACATGCAAAGGAAAGAAAAATCTACCATAGTGGATTCTCAAATGATATAAACTGTATGTGTATTAACCAGACATTAGCTGCACATGACACCACAAGCTTTGGAGCCATTAGGTCATTTGCAAAGGCTCAAGTGGTGTGTTTATTGGACTAATTGTAGTTTTTGTACTTCTACGTTTTTTAATCTTAAACACTTGAAAGATCTTTTGACTTTGTTTTTTTTTTGCAGTCAAGCTGATTTGGAGTTAAAATGTTTTGAAATTATTTGCTTTATTAAATGAACCCCTGCTGCAACCGTACTTGACCACCTTTCTTATTTTTCTTCAGAATTTGTTTGAAAAAAAAATTAATTAAATCTAGTAACAAGTTATCAGTCTACTAGAGGTGTCCCAGCTTAATAAGGCCATTAATTTTTTATTTGAGCCTAAATGGATTTTATATATTGCTGATTTAGTTGTTAATGTTAAACAACACCGATGGAAAACAATACAGATCATTAAAAGACTGCTGCAGATTTCAGGTTCAGAAAGCAAAATATTAGACAAGTAAAGAAGATAGAAGGTTATTTGGTGCATGATTACATTTCCAAAGCTTTTCATTAGAGCACGAGAGACTGAACAGAAGGTGGGGGTCACTCTATATGATCACTTACACACACACACACACACACACACACACACACACACACACACACACACACACACACACACACACACACACACACACACACACACACACACACACACACACACACACACACACACACACACACACACACCGTCTGGCTGGAACAACACATCTGCGCAGCTCAACAATAAAACAGCTGTGTTTGTGTTGGCCTGATGATTGTTTCAATCTCAATCAGCACGTCATAAACACAAACACATTATCTGCAGAGATGCAATGAGAGCGATACATCTCGACTAATAGCTGCTGTTATGGAGCAGGAAGAGTTTATTATGAAAAAATCCTCCCTCAGCATAGCTAGCAGCTTTCTAACAGCAACCACGGTGGTCTGTGGTGAGTTTGTACAAGATATGTTGGGTTGTTTTCCTCTTTAACTCGTTGTACTGCCTTTGTGGCTGATGAAAAAGGCTAGGTGGGAAAATGGGCACTAATGAATAATTATCCTGATGAATGAAGCTGACTAATGTCAGGGTTAGATGGACGAAATCTATTTTTTCACAAACTCAAAGATGTACTGTGAGAACAATGAACCAAACAAAAAAAAAAGAAACTGATAAGATATATGTTGAAATTTACAATACGTCATCAGTTTTAGCTTAACTCTGAACTCTGCTCTGTTTATTACAACAAACCAACCAACTGGCCCCAACCAACAGTCACTGTTTGCTTGTTGAACAGACTTTAATCAGCCAGCTCAGCGTCAGACCTTCAAGATGGTACCCAGGTGAATGAATGGTGGAGCAGCTGCTGTAACAACGCTCTTGTCCTCTCAACATGCATCCCATTCATCCATCTCTTCAACCAGTTGTTTCCTTCTCCCTCAGATTCTTTTGAGTTGTTAAACCATTTTAAAACCTTGCATCCGTGTTTTTTTTTGGGGGGGGGGGTGGGGGGGGCAACTTACAAACACCTCATGAATGTGCGAGAAACACAAAAGATTACTGAGAAATCTGTGAGAAGTGGTTACAATGACCGTGTAGAGAAAGTGAGAAAAGTCTTAAACCACCACTGGTTTCTTTATGTTTTTTATTTTTTCAAAAGAGTAAAATTTTCATTTATCCTTCAAAAGTATCATTGGTTACCAGTTCTGACGGCTTTCTGAAGGTCTTCCTTTCTTTTTCTGACAAACTCAGGAAGACATGGTGGCACTGCAGTTATTTTTCCACTCTTTGCTTGAAGAAATATCTTGTTTTTCTCTTGATACATTTTTGCTGGAGAATAGTATTTTCTTTCAAAACTGTCTGTTGATGCAGCAGCAGTTAGTGATAGGGTGCTCCTCTGTGCCTCAGGAAGTAGGGTAATGGCTACTCTGGCAGCGGTCTCCCTGGAGTCTCCCGCTCTGAGGAAACTTCTGGATGTCTGGGGCTTAAATCTCCATCTTTTGCAGGCCTTTGGGGGCAGGCCTGTGGCCTCTCACACTCACTATTGCACACTTCTTTAGCCTTACATACACAACTGCATGTACGCTCACAGGTGCTTACACAAATATGGAATTTTGACATGTAACCTAGGGCTGTGGTTGGCACTAAATGCATAATGAATTGCTTAGTACCATGTGCTTATCAGCATAAATTGTTACTCTTTATCCTCATGTTGTTGGCACAGGGATATTTTGGTTTAGTTGTGTTTTGTGTGTCTGTCTTTTTCTCCTTGCTTTCTGCAGATCTAGAAGTGGATTTTTGAACATCTTTAGTTGTTTTCTGTGGTGAACTTTTCCCCCACCTCTTCCTTTCCTTTCCTCTCCCCTCCTTTCTTTTTCATTTCTGTTTCTGTGTCCATTGGGATTTAAAACAACTTAAAGCATTTCTAATTAAGTTTTGATATCAGGCAGGACGTAATTAGCCTGGCCTGCCAGACTCGTCCTCTGTTTAACTTTGCACAGAGAAAGTCTGGTAACTCATAGGCAGAGAGGCACATGAGGGGCGGGACTAGGCAGCTCAAAAATAACCAATCAGAAAAAAGACGGAAATGCAGACTGTACCTCGCGACGCTGTAGTTTTTTAGCTGTAGTAAAAAATGTCGCCTGGCAACGGTGCAAATGTCTTTTATTTTTTTAGAAGAAATGCTTTTAACGCTTCTACTTGTGGTCCTAAATACATTCAAGTCATTTAGAACAGAGGAAAGAGCTGCAGTGAACTCCGCCGCTGTCTTCGTTGTTTATGACAAACTGAGTGTCGCCATGTGTGACGTCCGCGAAGCTGTAGTTTTTTAGCTGTAGTCAAAAATAGCATCTGGCGAAAGCGCAAACATCTTTCTTTAGAAAAAAGGCTTTTAGCGCTACTTCTTGTTGTTTTAAAGACATGTTCAAGTCATTTAGACCAGAGGAAAGAGCCACAGCGAACTACGCTTCAGTCGCCATGTTCGACAAACCCGGCATTATGGTGTGTGACGTACGCTACTCAGCGTTGATTGGCTTGGTTAGAATTTTCAGGGGGTGGGGTAATTCGAATAGGAGAGTTCCCAGACCCTTTCTCTGTGCAGAATTAAACAGAAGGGGAGTCTGGATGGCCAGGCTAGGACATTATAGCTCCACCAGTGAGAAGGAAACTGTAAGGCTTGTTTTTGATACGATTCTGGTTGCTTTACAGCTGGACAGGACATGGGAGACAGGGGGAAAAAAGTAGCTAGTGATAGGGTTGAGAAAGAATATTAGGCTCGACACACAGGAGGCGACATCGCCTCTCCTCCATTCATTTTCAATGAGACATGCGTGACAAAGCGATAATCGCGGGTCTCCCTCCTACTAAGCGAAACGCGAAAAACGTGCGTGTGAAATTTAGCACTCGTGCACGTGTCGTGCACAGGCAACCGAGCAACGCAATCCCAGAAAGTTGAAATAT